GTCAAGATTCTCGCTTTACTATCAGTGCCCCATGCAACCTTGCTCTGTCTGCATCTGATCTCATTTCCCTGCATCCCCCAACTCGCATTCCACATTCCTCACAGTCCTCTGACTTTATTGCTCCTTTTGTCTGCCTTTCATGCACTCATTTTTGCACTGTCTTTCATGCTGCCTATGTGCCTGGAACAGTCTTTAGCATCTCAGCCAATTTACAGCTTTGCATAAATTATATTTAATAATAAGACTAACAAAAGTTCATTATCTACATTATTTCAATTAACTTTGTACCTGCATAAGCGGAAAACAGCCTGAGGGAAACTACTGTTAAACTTTGTTGTGATTTGTTGTGATTCAAAGATACAGATTCAGGCACGACAGTTCTTTGATGATTCAGCATAAATTTAATTTTTTTTAACAATTCAGTAGGTGTTACGGGTTTTTTTTGGTTTTTTTTTTTTTCATTTTGGGGGGGGTTTGGGGGGTTTTGTTTGTTTGGTTTTTTGGACAGTAGACTTCAGATTTTTCTAATTCAGAGATAAGAAAATAGCTACTTATTCCTGCTAAGTGAAACCCCCAGAAAGTTGTCATCATCACATTACTTGGTACAGGCTTCCTGCCCTGTGATACTTTTTAACTTCATTTTACCCTTACTAATATGAATGTAGAAGGGCTTTGAATGTTGGATTGAGTTCATACCTGCAAACAAAGTGTATCTTTTGTGTTTATCCTTCCTTTTAAAGCAAGATACTCATCTGCTTTAAAAAAACAGTGAAAGATAAGAAAAATAAGAAAAGACTCTGCCTGTTTCTGGGAATTTTTCTCAGTGTGTTGGCTACTTTGACATACACATTTTCTTAAAATATTAAAAGTTGTTTAATATTTTAACTCCCTTCTAACACCAGTGAAAATAAGCTGAAAATAAGACTTCATGTGCTTGTCCAGCATCAGTGTATAGCTGCAAGGCAGGGCATTCTGCGGGAATTACTTTCCAAGTAAAATTGCATCTGAAATATATGGGGTATTTTTTTTTTGGTTTAAATGGTTGTATTGATACTGTTCACAGCTGAGTTGTGGAACCAAATAGATGTGCCTTTAATTTGTTTTTAAATGATCTCTTATATTCTGGAGATTATAATCTGAAGGGTGGCTGCCATAGTAATGTGCCAGTCACCATGGCATCTGAACATCATGAATAGAAATTCTGGGCTGCACAAAGACAATGCCACCAATTAGTATTTCGAACTGATCAAAGGTGGGGGACCAAAAAGTTTGCCAATAAATGTAGCTCAGTGGATGGCACTAGAAGTTAGAGTTTGCTTTACACAAGTTTATAACGATTTCAGTCCTCCTGTCAGTATCGTGTGAATTTATAAATAAAAGCCTTAAAACAGACTTCATCCATTTCCTATGCTGACTTTTTTTTCAGTTGCATGAAGAGTATAGCCGTAGGTTTATATTTCACTGGCCTAGTGAAGAATTAGTTTATAGTATAGTTTATACGAATCTTTAGAACCTTTTCCTCCATACAGGATTTTTAACTTTAAACTGAAATTAGGTCAGTTAATGAAGAAAAGGGGTTTTCTGTACTTGATTAGTAAATATTCCTAGTCTCTAAAACTTTTGCAGTCTGCTTTCTTAATACTATTCTAATTATCAAACAAACCTAAAATTAAATACTTATTTAAAAGCAAGCTTATTTTATCTTAAATAATTGATTGTGGCTTGTTGTTTGAAAGAGGACTACTTTGGCATGAATTCCAAATCCAGTTATGATCTTAACTCAAGCAGTTTGTTTAATCAAACATTACTCTAATAAGTCTTACATGGTCCCCTACCCGACCGGGCCTGTCTATAACAACTAGTTTATTCTGTGACGAGTTGCTCAACAGATGTCATTCTGGTAGAATAATGCAGCAAAATACTTGTGCGTTGGCTAAAATTACTTCAACTTTGATCACTTTTGTCCAGCACATCAGTCTGGCATTGTGCTTTATACCAACATAACACTTTACCCCGAGCATGCCTTTCAAGCTTAGAATAGCAGAGGAATGTTATTGAATTCAGTGCAGTTACAGATGAGTTAATGAAAGAAGGAAAATACTGTTTTTTTCATAATGCCTTTCTGTTGTACTTTGGAATTAAAAGGGAATTTGAGGAATGTGACTTCTGAGTTATTTATTTTTACTTCTGAAGGCTTTTTAAAAACAATATTATGTAGTTGTATTGATGCCATGTTTCTGTAAATAAGTTTAACTTTTTCTTTGAAAATAGCTCATTTTAGACTTTTATATTGTGAAAATAATATAAGACTTTTTTGATGTGTAACTGGAGAATAGTTATCTCACAGGGACAGTTTAGCTCTGTATTTAATGCAAGAAAACTAAAATAGCAAGAACTGTATTCTTGTGATCACAGATCAGTATTGTTACATTTTGATGGGCTGTTGTGGGGTCAGTACGGAGTAATGACATCTCTTTACCTTGATATTACTGTGAAACGAATACTGCACAGCAGGCTACCTTCTTGTTAAGAAGCAGTGAAGAAAGGCTGTTTGTTTTGAACAGTAGGAATGAGATCATATACCAAGTTCTATAGAGTTCGGTCCTCCATAATTCAATTTTTCACAGGTGCATATGCATATATGCATATGCATATATATATAAGAATATACCATATATGTGTGTATTTGAAATTGTGTTTAAATAAATTTTTAATAATTAAGGTATATTTATATTTTTCAAAGCATGACGACATGCTTAAATACCAGGAAGCACTAATATGAAGTGCACTTTATTTACTAATAAATACTTCGGTATTCTGTGTCTAAACCAAAACAATGTTCTTGGTTTAGTTTTTTTAATTAAAATATAGTTGTAATTTTGTTTTAATTGAAATATAGTTACCAGATCAGTCTCCCTGCAAAAACTCCTCAACAAAACCAATATTAACATATAGGTTATTGGATGTACATGTAATTTACCAGTTTTACAAAAAAAGGAGAGCTATCTTAATGATTCTGAAACATACAATGAATGTGAAGCTGAGCCGAAAATCCAACCCAAATACATGTTATGATACTGAAATATCCAGATAATGAACCCACATTGTCTAACTTTCATCCTTTAGTGAGATGTAGACGCAAGAGTTGGAAGTGGTGTATCTAGCTGTTAGATGATAATTTGAAGCCATTGTTTTCCACTCGTGTGCAGAATATTTGTATTTATAAAGCTTTAAACTGATAGTATTGAAATTATTATCCACATAGCCTATATATTAAATCTACCCAGAAATGGGGAAGAGTTCTTCACAGTTTTTACTAAGGGGCACTTTATTAGTATGAAATACTACTACCACTACTACTACTAAAAGTGGTGAGAATGAGCAACAGTAATTGAATGGAGGATCTGAGAACTGGAAATACAGTAAGACCACTGTACTTTGTGTTTGCTCTCTATATGCCCTGAATTTTCTCAGTTGTATCTATTTGTTGGCAAACTCATGCAGTAGTGCCATGAAGAGTCTTTTGAAGAATGTTGCCCAAATCAACATTTGTGAGCAAGCGTGTGTGTGGAAATCCCTGCCTCCTCTCTCACCCCTCTTAGGATGTTTACAATGATTAGAACAGGTTTTTACCTCTTAAAGTCCGCACACGTATCCTTCATCCATGAATTAATGTGCTCGAACTATGTGCAAAATTTCAAAGAAAGGATCTGTGCAGCATTTCTCTCTAAAGATGATCCTGAGAGAAAGAGTTTTGGTGCTATTTCATTATGCAAACACATTTTTAGATGAGTATCTACTACCAGATGTTGCATATACTTTCTGTAGTAAAAACAAATGCCAAATTTTGAGGGAACATATGCACATTCCATATGTTTATATTACCATATTACCCTACCATGTATTCAGAACTCAACTGTGCTTCTGTGAGAAAGCTATGGCAAGTACTGATTACTAGTTAGGGTGAAATTCTATAAAATGTCTGTATAGTAGATTGCTTTGTTTTATTGTATTGTGTCCCTAAGAACAGGAGTTTAGAATCACCTTTCACTCATTTCTTGAATAGGAAAAAATTAAATATATGGATTATCTTAGTATTTCTCATTTTGACAAATTTCAGCTTTCTTCCTGATATTTTAGTCATTTTTCTGTTCAAAGTTGTTAAGTTAGGGTAAGTCCGCTAGACTGCAAGCCAGGTAAAACATGACAGCTGCATCTGCGTTAATGTTTTTGAGGGAAAAGTTTTGTAACTCTTGTATTTTGCAGCATTCTTCCTGTATTTGAAATTTTCAACTCTTTCTTCTTTTCCCCTTCCCTTCCTCCTGACAACCATCATGTGAGATCATTAATGGTAGTGTCTTGTATTTTAACAGCATAAGAAGAGTTGATGTAAAAACTAGTTTATTTGCTTTTTGTTAATGTTTCAAATGGGCTGTCTTCATTGGAAATGTGCTTATTTATATTTTCACGTTTAATACTATCACACTTTTTTTTTTATATATCATTTAAGAAACTTATGCAAAAGTAGTTGTTTTTCTTATTGTATTAGCATGAACCTAAAATTTTCAGGTGAAAACAGAGTATACTAACTAGCAAAAACAGTAACAGAGTTTTTGTTACTAACTTCTGCTTCCCTTCAGTTTGATCATTACTTTGTAATAATTTTTACTGGGAAAATTTGTATTATGAATTGTTTTACACATTTATGATGCTTCAGTAATAATGTATCATTATGAATGATACTTTACAGATTTTTTTTTTTTTCTTTAACATAGTTTGTTCAGTTGCTTTTGGCAGCACTGAAATGTGGTGGTACCGTACATAAACCTGTGGAACAGATCTGAATCTTCAAGTGTTGGAGGAACCTGTTTTGCAATAAGTAATTGGAAAAAAACCTCAAAATAAAAAGCTTGGAATTATGATGAAAAGAATGCCGTTTGCCTGTATGCTTTTGTTAGTACAGGTTCTGAATGGAGTTTTTTGTTTGTTTGTTTGACTAGGTAAAGCGGAATGTGTATGACCTAACTAGTATCCCTGTCCGTCACCAGTTATGGGAAGGCTGGCCCCCTTCTGCCACAGATGACTCAGTAAGTAGCTTGGGTTCTCATTTCATTTCTTCCTACAAACAGCTGATTTTACTTGGATTTTTGATCAGAATCACCCAACAGCTTTTAGCATCCTGTATGCAGTAACTTATCCTTACACATACTTCAGAGCTTTATCTTGAAAGATAGAAATACTAAATTATTGTCTTACTAAAGCACGTTTCCATGGAAATTATTCATGTGTATGAAATTCAGTGCATGTTTAGACTCGAAAGAGACATGTTCCTAGATTAAAGCAAAGCTGCACAACATTGTGGAAGTTGAGGATGTCTATTGCAGTGATAGAACTTCAGGGACAAAAATCCTGTTTTTTCATGTATTCTGAGTGCATATCTAGATATTTTCCTCAGTTGTGTCCATGAGATCAGTGGTGTTCTTAAGCCTGCGTCTGGCTTTAAGCAGGAGGTGTTCCTGTTGAAATAGGTGGAGAGGTTCACTTGCTTTTAAAGCATCTACTTTGGTTCTTGCTGGACCAGTAAAAATGTAATCTTGCAAATGTTTGTAAATTATGTAATGTAAAATAATATTTATACAGTACAATATGTATTCAATTTTCAAACGTATTTTGCAGTTTTTAGAATTACCGTTATTTAGAAATGGAGGGAAATCTTAGTTGAGATCAATATGTACCCTCAGTGACGGAATCAGCTAACTGTGAATTGCCTACAAATTCATGAAATTGTGGGACTTAACTGCAGAATTCTATTAACTATTAGACTTCCTTCCTTGCATGGTTGTCCCTACAGTGTGTTTTACAGCATGTCTTTCAGTTTTGCTCAGACAATTGTCTTCTGGTAGTATGTTCACAATGCCAGCTAGTGAGGTCCGCCTTTATTTTAAAAAAAAAAAAAAAGCCTAAAAGGCTGAAATAATTATGTAGTTACGTTGTGTGTAGATTTTTGTGACCTGAGAAAAATGTAGAAAAAAAAAATTCTATTTTTATAAAATCATTCATTTAAACTAGAGGCTGAACCTGCGCATTCTACAAAGTGAACATGGAATTGGGATTTCCTTTCTCTATGTATTAGCATTATCTTCAATGCATTACTTTCCTGTCCATTTGTACTCTCTTCTTGTAAAGGGAGAATTGCTGTTTGTATGGTAAGACTGCTGCTTTTTTGCTCTGGGCATAGGATTTGTGCCAATCAAAAAAAAATTGCTCTGAATTTCTAATATTTCTAATACACTTGTAAAATATGTCTGTGGTAGTGTTTGCAGAAACAGTAGTAGTAAAGTTTGAGAGTGGTGGGTAAATCTATGTCTATGTATTCAAGAGCATATCTGAGATGAAAGATGTAAGATCTGAAATAACAGCATGGTGTCATGTAGTAATTACAGTCTTTGAAATGTGGATCCATTTTAACATTTTATTAGTTTACATTAGCCCAAAAAAGAATTGGAAACTCAACACTTCTAATCCGTTTTCCCACAGCTGTTAGGTTTTCCCGTATTCCCCCCCCGCCGCCCTTCTTTTGAATAGGATACCTCACATATGTAAAACTCGTAAATCTGTTTTAAGTCTGTTTTTACAAGTGACATTGTTGCAGGTGAATTTTTCCCCTTTTCATCTTTAATGAAATTGGTGAATGTTGAGTCATCTGCTCCAAAGCAGGAGAGTTCTCAAAGCTCACTGCTCGAGTCTGGTGCAGCTGAGACTTGTCAGCTGTGTAAACAGATTTGAATGTGTTACCAACAAAAATATAATTAATTTCTGTCTAAAATTAGAGGCCATATTTATAAAGTTTTAATGTTAGCAATGACTATCTATGTTTTGGTGAACTGAACACTTTTTCCTTTGCAAATTAGAAATATTCAGTAATAATTACTTTAGTAATTAGTCATGATGTCTTTAGTTCAGAGGCAAATTTTTAAAATCACTCTTTCAGTCTTGAGTTTTTCACTTGCTGTATTGTATAGTATTCCATTGCAATTAAAGAGTTAAAGAAAGGCTTGATTAAAATACTTTTTCATTTACATGTTATGCAGCATAAGAAATACTTTGTAATACCACAGGAGGTTTTTCAGTGCAGTTCTCGTTAACCTTTGGCTTAGCAAACAGGACAACTAAATAGACTTCGCATAATTGGATTCCTGTATCATCTTGAGTCTCTTATGAACCTGACAGACTACAGTCTTCTGACATTATCAGGAAATTTAGTGGAGTCAATAGTAATTTAAAACATTGTTGCTTCATCTCCCTTCAGAGTTAAGATATGTTCTCTGCTTGTACTATCTAATGAAAGATGGGATACTGTATGAATTGTCAATAACTCTTTCAGATCCTTTTGCACACTTTCACCAGGGAAATGGGTATCGAAACCTCCACACGCAGGAGAATGTTTTCATGCTGTGACAGTTTGATTGTGGGAAACAAGGCATATGCAGTCTGTGGAAATTTCATGTTCACCATTCAGCAAGGACATATTTTTAGCTTTTATTGTGTCTGAATAATTTTAGCACCACAAATTATATGTTCCGCTCATTAAAGTTCAAGCGAAGTAAATGTATGAGGTTTAAATTGTTCTTTTTTTTTTTTTTTTAACAAGTTTACTTAAGTCTTTAATTATATTAAAGACTTAATTTATCTGGTTTGGGATATATATCATCAACTGATGTAATGAAGTCTTGAAAATTAGCCTAGAAAATTGAAAAATAAGTATAATTTTATTTAAGTAGATTGACAGTTTGTTCTTAAGCTTTATTTTTATTTTGGATATTGTAACAGCCTTAACATTACTGAGCTTGTAAAATGAAAATGAAACCAGAATTATTTACTGAAATTTCTGAAATGTATTCCATTTCTCTTTGCTATATTGGCTGAACTCCTAAACTTCCACTAGTAATTACTGCTATTGCCAAGTGGAATGAGAAACCTTCAAATATGTATGTGTGTTTAAAAAAAAAAAGAAAAAAAAATCTGAGATCAGTCATAGGTGCCATTTTAGTTACAGTTTTTGCATGGAAACATTGTGATTTTAATTATATAAGAACAGATGACTTTTTGGATATTAGCTTTACACGTGTATATTTGCGGTAAAACCTTTTTCCCCCCCTTGAGGTCACTGGTTTTTGATTTATTTTGACAGGATGAGTTTTTGTCCTTGATGTTTCTGTTCATTTTGGTAGCATAGAACAGCAACACCCAATATGGGAAGGAGGAGAGAGGTTGCTTTTGTGCTGCTTTTGTTCTCAGTATTTAAGCTAACACTTTTTTCTTAATTAGTTCATTGTTTTAAGTCATTTCAGCATAACAACGAGAAATGCCTGCTTCTTCATAAGTAATGGCAGTAAGCTTTTCAAAATGGAATATGTTTCCACATGAAAAAGATGTAAGACTTTTGGAATGAGGTTTGGAGGGGTAAAGGGGAGAGAGACAAAGACAGAGGATGGAGTGCCCAGTGTTGTAACTATGCCCTTGCACGCAGACCCTGTACGGAGGAACTCCGCATCCGTCCTTCCACCTACTGCCAGTAACACTTTGTTTCCCTAAACAGTATGGCTGGCCAAGACCTCTTATACTCATTTCAAGATGAGTAACTGTGCTTCTTTACTGTATAGATAAGCCAGTGGATATTAGTTTAGGCAGGAGTAGGTCTACAACTACAAGTTACTCAGCTGCACTACTGGAGTCACCTTTCAGATGTGACACGTGTGTTGCCACTAACGTATTGAGGCTCTGCATCATCTCCTGTGAACACGACCACCTTCAGTTCTGTGACGGCTGTAGAAGATGTGGTTGATGTTTCTTAGCTGAATTTAATAAAGCCTTCTAGGTTATAAACAAAATTCTCAAATGCTTATGTATGATCTAATTAGCACGGCTGTTATATTTAGCTATTTCATTGCTAAGTACTAAGCGCAGTCTGTCTGCACAGATAGAAATTAAGAATGCCAATAAATAGTGTTCTGGTACAAAGTCAAACCATTTATGACACTTTTTGGCTGATCTCCAGATTTTTGAAGAGGTTGAGTATTAAGCATCTGAGTAATTAGTATTTAGGAGTATATATTTCTTTCCCTTTCCGGGTCTTACAAAGGCTTTCTGAGCAGAAAGTTCATTACTGCAGGCTGTCATTGTGATATGAAAACGAGCTGTGAGGTTTACATACACTGGCTGTTTAATTGTAATGGATGCCATCTCTGCGTTTACTGGATTGTTTGGAATTTTCCCCCTGGAATTGATATGACTAAAGAATGAATAGTCCAGACAGAGAAAGTGTCTATTAATCAGAAGTATAACATTGACTATATTTAAATTAAAATACATACATCGTTAGAAAATACTCAACTATTTTTTTTCTGTGCAAGAATATCATAATTATAATTTAGATTGTATGTTTCTTTCTGTGGTTCTCATCAATTGCTTGCAGTAGAGTAGTAGAGTGGATCTGTCAGGATCCTTTTAATTTAGATACTTAGAAGAATACTTGAAGTCTGTTTTGTTATGTGGGTTCAGGAATATGGTAAAGTTTCAATTTAACTTTTATACTATAATCCAAATTTAGTAGCAAAAATCCTTAGACAGTACCCAGTCTTGGAAGTTCATGGTAATCTATGAAGCAGCACATTCATCATTGTTAAGAAACAGAAAAGTAACTGAGTAATTTAATAAGCGGTTCCTAAATGTCTTTATTTTAGATAACCTTCTGACTTTGACCTACGGCTTGCTTGGATGTTTTTTTGTGGATGAAAGTATGATGAATTATCATGTTCTTTCCCCAGAATAAACAAGGAGATTACAGTTGTTTTTCACACTTTTTTTTTTTACCTGACCCCCTTGTATATTGTCTATTTGTAACAATTAAGATAAAGTTATTGAAATTAATTTCATTTATGTAAAAATTACCATGTCAGGAATAATCGGATTTGTGTTATGTTTACACTTTTTTGTCACAAGAGAATTGATTTAGGATTGTCCGATTTTAAAACATAAAATAACTCAATTGAAGTGATCTACACCTATCATGTTGCTTTTGGGAAGA